GAGCGGGGCTGCCTTTAACCCATTGCGTACCGCGTGCTGCACATGGTGAAGCACTCTTAGTGTGAACTCATTTAGCATTGTTAGATGACTGGAAAGAGTAGGTATATTCCTGAAGTCGTCAGGGACAAAATATGTGTGGGGGAAATTGCGAGATTGAATAATAGCTATGTTGCTAGCATTTTTCGAGTACCCTCAATTTAATTTTTTAATAACTCTTCCTTTACCAAATAAAACCGAAATTCCTGCTTAGTATACGACTGAGAATTGTAAAATGGTGTGAGTGAACAGCTTCTAAGCACACTGCGTCACTTTTTCAATTCCTCTTAATTTTATCAAGCTTTTTTGGCTAGTTTCGCATTTTTCGGCTTTACTCTTTTATCACGTAACAATATTGAATCCCCTTTAGCATACGTATACTTATAAAAGTGATGCATAATACGATGTGTGTGCAATATTTTTATGTTATATGTATAAGATAAAAATCTTATGTTTTTATACTCAGCGCGCCAGAAATCGCGTCGCGCAAATACACTGCGGTACGCAATGGGTCATTTGCACCACAAACCACGGACAGCAAGGGCATAGCACTGAAGGCAGGTGGGGCGGAGTGGACTGGTGAGCTACGAAAGCGCGAATACTCCTCTTGCCGACGAAAACGCACAAAGGCCCATTCAGTGATAGCCGAGAGGGTGAAGGAAAATGGTGTCTGCACTCCTTCTAACGCAATAAAGAGAACAGGCACGCTAATGAGACAGTTCCTAGTCTCCGCGTATACGATCAGCGCGGAATATGACTTTAAGGCAGTTGGCACGATGGTTTCGTACTTACTTAGCCTGAAATGCTAGTAGGGCGCTGCATAGTGCGGGGAAAATGGCGAAAGAACGGAGTGAAACGGTCAAAATCTGCGAAGGGAACAAAGGCCCACGTTCTCGTTGATTAGCTAAATTTCGATTTGGCGGTTCATCTTTACCAATCACGAATATGACGCTGCAATATAAGTATTCTTGTATGCAGCATCACAGCCGCTTCATACAATTCCTTTCGCTTCATAATTTGCTTAGCAAATGAATGAATACGAGCGTCAGGAACGGTCGTCCATTTGTGGGCGGGCGGGCGTGGCGGGCGTTTGGGCGTAAAGGTATGTCGGCTTAATAGGGCCTTTATAAGGGCACCTTCCGGGGAAACCGCTATGCAGCGCCTGCCCAGGGTCGCGGAATTCTATCCTGCCAGGAGTATTGATCCTAGTCGTCTTGGGGATTTATCGTGCCAACTGCCTTTAATGGTAGTGCTGCCTATTAGCACAACGAACGAAAGAATCCGCGTGGTGCAGATTCCAAAGTTGCACCGAGTGAATATCATGATGCCTACGCAATCTACTACAGTCACTGCGTCATCCACCAAGACCGACGGTAATTCCTCGCATAGTGAGCGTTCGTAAGAACCCTGCGCCACGCGGCGTGATAAAAGCTGCACACGGGTGGTCTCTATAGGGAGTTGATCGGTTGTTTTCAACAAGATCCCCCATTATTCCATGCTGCCCACCTTCTCGTTACAACAGCCACACGCAATCTGAGGCGTTGTGAGCCATGTAATTGCCTTTCTGTACCACGCCTATTACGAGCACGATACAGAATGCAAAAGGTAGAAAAGGGGAGGGAGAAGGGGGTGGAATGTTTACCATAATCACAGCACGGCCACTGACGCTTTTGAACATGCACACCCAGGGTACAGCATGGGGATGTGCGGAATGTCGGTGTAGTACGACCAACTCCCCTTCGAGATGGGGCCCAGGCGCGACCCCCCCCCCCTCGACAACTTCTCGTGCGGGCGCGACTATGGGGGGCTAGGTGGAGGGTGGGCAATCGCCACGTCGTCGCGCGAAACGTAGCTGTGGAGGTGGGCCGGTCGGGCCCGGGGTCGTGCCTGGGCCCCATTTGCGATAAGCGGGAGGGGGGGGTTTTTCGATAACCTTCCACACCTTCACCATTTCACGTGCACATCCCCATGCTGTACCCTGGGTGTGCATGTTCAAAAGCGTGGCGCAGGGTTCTTGCGAACGCTCACTATTACCTTGTGGGCAAGAGCACTTAGAAGGCAGACAAGCAGAGCAAAACTTGAAATGCCAATAGATGTCAGAAATAATGGTGGACACTTACGTGCTGTCTCTCAACTGCACATCCATCTGCTTGGAGTTTCGAGCTTTCTTATCCCAAATGTTGATGACGTACGTCGGCAAGAACTTTTCATGGGTTTTCGGATAAGGTAACTCCACGACGTTCGGATAATTTTCATTGTGATAATAGCTATAACGCGATGCTATCAAAATGACGTCACCTTAACGACTAGGAAAACTTACCTAACCATGGAAACTGTCTTCTCCTTGAGCTTCTCACGACTTAAATACGCCAATTTGCCGCCGGATTCCGACCACCAAACTGCCTGCAAATTTCGAACTCAGCTCAGGGAACTTAACGAGAAAAGAAGGTGCGCAAAAAAGTTTGCGAAGCACGTCAACAAGCGGGTAAGGATGTGCGGTGCGGTCACCACTAGGGGTGAAAAGTCGGTGCGAGAACGAAATGGAGTTGCTTCCATTTCCAGAGTTGCATGTCACCTTGACTCCCGTCCCTATCAGCTCTGATGTTTTACAGTGTCGGCCCCCTCCAGAACCCTAGAGGCTTGGAAAGTACCATGAAAGGGTGATAGTAATGATGCAAATAATTTCAGTGAAGCAACATCTTTACAGTCAAGGGCGAAATGTGCACCAGGTTGCTCCTTCATGTCATTATGT